TTCAGGCTTTGTAGGAGGRGCCCAAGCAGGATAGTAGAGGCCTGCCAATAACACAGACTAGAAAATTCTGTTCTGGGACCCAGAGATGTGTCTGGTGGAAACCAGATGAGCAGGTCACTCCTCGAGCAGGCTTATAAAACTGCAAACTGCCTCCAGTCTTTGGGCTACTTCCCCACTGTTCCAGACCTGCTGCCTCCTCTATATTCAGAGGTATAAACAGCTCCGTGGTTTACTCCCACTCTGCTTGCAGTAGTTGATGGGAAAACCCCTATATTTCCCCATGGAATTTGAGAGCTGGGATAAAGAAATGCTTGTAGCACTTTGTAGTTGCAAAGGGACAGGCAAGGGGTAATGCTCTCTTGTGTTTATTTCCCYGCCTTTGAGTGCTGAATTTGTTCCCAAGCAGCAGCTGATCTCTCTAAGCTGGAGGCTGCACTCTATAAGCTGTGTGCTCATTTCACACCAGAGATGTGATCTTTATATCTGCAGGGACAGTTGATGTTCAGCAAGGCAGAATGGATGTGTGAGACTGAAAAAATATATGGATGATACTTTTTAACCAGTGTTGAATTTTGCCTTCTCAAGTCAGCTTCTTGTCACACTAAAGCTCATCAGAACACAGCCCTCAGCAGATCAAACCCACAGCTCTGGCTGAGCTGAGACCCTGGGTGCAAGCTGGCCCAGCTGACAGTCCTGCATTTATGAGCCAAATTTTCCAGCAGCAGATAGTTAAATGTGGACTAAACCATGGAAAGTTGGTGGATTCTTGACAGCAGAACAATGCCAGAAAATCGTGCAGTACTTCTTCTTGCTTCTAGTGCAATGGGCAGAAACTGGAATATAGGAGATGCCTCTGAATATGAGGAATAACTCCTTCACTGTGAGGCTGCCCAGAGAGGGGAGACAGGCTGCTGTCTCCTGCCCTGGAATGACTCGAAAGCTTTCTGGATGCAATCCTGAGTAATGTGCTCTAGAGGACCCTGCTTCTGAGCAGGGAGGTGGAACTAGATGATCTTCAGTGATTCCTTCCAACCTTACACATTCTGTGATCATGTGCTTCATTATAATAGTTAAGTTTTGAATTCCCCTGTGAGAGATTCAAAAATGTTGTATTTGAAGGGCTGAACAAGGTACTCAGCTCCTAAGTTTTGATTTATTAGGGCTGAAAATAATACACATTTTCTTAATACCTAAGAAATGGTATGCATTTTCTCCCAAACTTATTTCTCAATAAGATGAAGGGAACTGAAACTGCATGAGCACTGAAATATGACAGGTAAAGGACAACAGGATGAAACAGAGTCAGTGTTTTGATACCCTTGTTCACTTTCAGTGAACAGTTTTAGAATAAAGACCTGGGGGAATGGTGTTGAACAGGAAAAACTTTTCACTGCACTTCTCACAGGTTAATACACCAGCAGAAGGCTGGGTGAGGACATTTATCTCTGCTTTCCCCATGCTCAGGGACTGGTTTACTTATTACTCTGAAAAATTTAATATCTTCAGTGCATCAGGGAGCAGACGGGAGACTGAGGTATCCTACAGAGACTGAAAAAAGGGCATTGAAAAYCCCTAGAAAACCCATGAAATGGGGGGCAAAAACGGCAGAAAGGCTTTAAKGRCTTTTMTCTTCCTTCTTGCAGAGGAAAGATRTCCTGAATGAAACCCACYTGYGCTGTGGCCATGCTGCCTTTTGACTCCCAGCCACACTTCCTGTGGACACCTTGACTTGCTCTAGAGCTTTTCCTGATTGGAAGCCATGGTTGAAATGTCATTGATTATTTGTTTAAAATATCCTGATTAATGTTTGTAGGGATGTACCATGACATTTTTCTCTGGTGGTGGTGCCAGCTAAAGAGACCCTCACCGTTTCTGGGGTGTCCCCTCAGCCAAGGCAAATGGAGAGAATATCTGTCTCTCCATGGGGACAGCTCTCTGCCCACCTTGGGTCCCTCACAGCACAGGGGAAGCAGCCCCCATGGTGTCAGAAGTACCAGCAGGGACTGTGCTGCCTCTGGAAAACAGGACCASATGATGCTCCCACCCTGCTGAGGCTCAGTGGCACTGGACATCAAGCCTCATGTTGAAGCACTGAAGATGTTTTTCTGGAACGGAATGGGATAAAACCTTAATTGTGGGATTCCACACAAAATCTAGGTTTCCTCTATATGATAGAAGGCAGAGTAGAAAGACCTCTACAAAAATGAGCTTAATCTGTGGGATTTCTCATCACTCCTGATAGCAGCCACTGCCTGTTGATGAGACCACAGAAGGGATCACCTGACAGGTGTCATACACTGTGAGGGGACAAGAGGCCACAGATCCATCTGAAGGAACTGTCAGCATTGTCAACCCCTAAAGACAGAGCCGAAATGATTTATTACAACAACCCACAAAACAAGACAATCTTTCTGGGTGACTGGGCAGCCAGTAATAACTCTGAGTCTGTAAAGAGACAGGCAAATAGGGAAAAAGAAGCAGAAGTGAATTAATTTTCTGTCTCTTGAACGACTACACTCAGTGTCTACACACAACAGACACCTGAAATGTTGAGTTACACAAGAGTTGCTATGGGGCTTTGAGCAGCATGGTCTAGTGGAAGTTGTCTCTGCCCATGGCATGGKGTCCTGCCTATAAGRYCCATTCCAACCCAAACTATTACATCTATTACATTCTGTTACATCTGAGCTCTCAAAGACTGTTCTCATCCATCTGTTTCCTCCTTCTCTAATACAAAGTCAAACCAAGATCAATACTGTAGATAATAATCTCAACTAATCTTGAAAATTGTTTTTGTCCATAAACAACAATTTTGGAAATAAGCAAAAAACCTTTGAGAAGTCCTGGGGGAAATAAAAACGTATTACACTGAGGCAATTACATACACTTTCTATTAAGCAGACAAAACCCACATGTTGTAGCTTCTTACATTCATTACTCCAGCAGACACAAAAATATTGCAATATTAGTTTGCAGGAAATACTTCAGGTAACTAAGTACATATTTCATCAGATTTTACTGCACCATTAAACACACTCATGTCCCATAACACACCATATACAGGGAAGGCTGAGGGAGCATGSGCTTGGGTGTTGCTGATTTCAGAAATGCAGCTCCTCAAGCAGTATTAACCAAGCTCTATCCATGCTGGCATCAAGGAGAAATCGACCTCCCCCTTTTTTTCCCATGACCATGTGTGCCCCCTTCTACCCTTATGCCAACAGCTATATCCAATCAGCCTGATCAGGGACCTCTCAGGAGGATAATCCAAACTGAAACAAAGAAATGTAATACCAGCATGAAGAGGGATTCTACTACACAGCCACGTGGACACAACCACTTTAACTTTCCAGGGAGCTGAGCATTTGCAGACATAATTTAAGGCTTAGCCCAGTGCCATGGATTCCCCTAAGGAAAGTGTCAGATCTGCTGCTCCTGTGTAGATGTCTCTGATGCCCATGTGGCACCAGGCAACTGCAGTTGGCAGATGTCTGGGAGCTCTTGAAAGGGGMTCTCACTCTTTCAACTCCTGATGGGGTTGAAAAATATTCCCCCAAAAGTAACTCATCTCAGCTGTCCTGAGATGTTTCCAGGCAGATGAGAGCTGGCGCAGTTATGGTCTCTTGTAGAGGGAGAAAACCAAGAGCTCCTTTTCAAACCAAGAGGACAAAATGACCTCAAGAAAAGGAGAAGGAAAAGAGCCCTGTGTGAAGACCTGAAACTGAGTTGACCYACTGAATCACAGCTGGAACAGCCATGAATGGGAGGAGAAAATGGTTTCTGAGGCTTCCAAAAATGTAAAATGTGAAAATGGGAGAATTTAAGTGTTGGAAAAGTTAAGGTTTGGGTCAACATGAACCATACTTACCCATACTTACTTAACCATAGTTACCCATTACTGCTCCAAAGCTATGACTGAAGTAAATAAAAGGACGGAATATCAGTCTCACCCATAGACAACCAAGCAGCTCTCAAAAATKATTAAGGTCTACTCAGAAAACTACCTCTTTAAAAACCAGCAATACTCATGCACCAATGCCAGGGAGTACAAGAGCAGGGCCAGGAGGTTTTCCTAGCAAACAAGAAAAACCCACCTTGACATGCAGGTGGGTGCCCCCATGCCAAGGCAGCTCCCTGTTGCTGCCAACCTCTGGCAGCTGTGCAAACTCACAGCCTTGGGACCCCAATTCACAAACCCACAGTGAAACCATTGCTCCACATTCTTGTCTCACAATAAGAGACCCCAGCTCTGCTCCTGGGAATCACTGCCRTCAGACATCAGCCAAGAATCCTGCTGCACCAGGGACCTGAGCACATGGTCTGAATGTTCTGAGAACATGGGGGTGAAAAATGCATCCTACCAATTGGAATCCACCTGGTAGCAAATGGAGAATCCAGAGGGGAAAGGTTTTGGGACCTTCTTCAGGCTATCACTTGCTGCTGGGCAGCTCCTAGAGAAAGGAGAGCAGCTAGTTGCAAGCCATTTAATGCACGATTTATACCAATACTTTACATTGTGAAAAAGTGGTTTGCCTCTTATGCAGAGAAAACATGAATGTTGAGTATCCTTCCCAACATTGCCTTCTAGTTTGTGAAACAAAAATCAGAGRAAAGGTAAAGGATTTAATCAACCTCCAATTCATTTTTATTGCTAGCAGATGCTTCAAATTGCCAGTTCTCAGGGGCTGCTTCAGTCTCTCTTTTGCAGTTGCCTAAATCCATTGTCAGCACTGACAGCGACAGAAACACAGATGACAAAAACCAGTGATACTCTAGTGCAGAACAGCACAGCTCTGCCCAGTTCCTACTCAGAAAGGACTGCTCGGAGCGAGAAGCCAGGGCAGAGCAGGCTGAAAAACAGGGTGAAGAGGGAGCAAAGCCAGCAGGAAACAGGTGCTGGAATGGGGCTCTTCAGAGGACACAGGGGAGAGGCTGAATTCAGTGTCCCACTCTCCCCAGGCCCTCTGGTTCCGGGGCCACCCTGCACGGTGGGCACTTACCTGGTGTGAGCTGTACCAGGGGCCAGAGAGGGGCCCAGTGCCGCTGTCCGGCCCCCCAAAGGATGCATTCCGAGATGTCTGGGATGATGTCCATGTCCCTGCCCTTGGGCCCCAGCCACCAGCCATGCCATGCACTGTCACACCAGTGGGGAGGGGTGGCTGTGAGCAGGGACGGGCAGGACGTGGACGTGGCACTCTCTCCCTGGTGTGGGAAGGCTGCTCACAGGGGTCACTCTGCAGGAAGGGGTGTRCAGCCAGGGCTGCGATTGCTGGTGTGCACAGGAGACCCTCCTGGGGAGCAATTGTAGCACAGGAGAGGAAGGGCAGCTTGACAGAARGTTGTGCTGCTCCTTCCCAGGGCATTCAGGTGCCTTTTTTTTTCTCTCTGGTTTCCCCAATGCCCCACCCTGCTSTGAAAAGGCAGCCTGGGAATTTAACTCCTTCAAATCAGTGCCTAAATCTAATGGTTAACTATTAATTCCTCACTGCTAGATTGCAAAACTTAGAAGTTGTTCTTCCCAAAGGCATGTAGTCGCTCACATAAATTCTTACTTATGTCCTGTATTTTTCTCTTGTAACTATTTCCTGARTAGTTTCTTTGCAGAGACTTCAGGCAATGAGTTTGTTCCCAGTCTGTGGCTTTATCCATTCATTCTTTTAGTTTTGATTTGATAATTTAAGTTCTCCTGGGGAAAACAACAACTAAACRAATTCATTAAAGGGAGAGTAGAGGTAGCAAGGGAGGAGCTTGGTGGAATTACATAGCAGACAGAAGCAGGCTCCTAGAGGAGCAAAGAAAGCAATATTAAGGCACTACATCTTCAGGCTCTGGACAGTACAACTGCTTGCAATCCAGAGAGCTCACACTGTACCTTGGAGGAACTGACTTGTATTAGTATTAGTGCTTAGCTGGGCTTGAAAATGCCCAAAGTCCTGACAATCACTGCAGCAAAGGTCAGCAGGCAGTTATTCTGCTCCCTGCTTCAACAGTTTTCTCCTACATTTAGGAAGAACAGGCATCAATTGCTTAGTCCCAGTGGGACTGGTGTTCCTACCATCAGCAAGAGGCATCCAGAGAGTGAGCCAGTCAGTGTGCAAGATAGCAGGCTGGGGACYGAGCTTCCAGCAGGCAAGGAGATATGATCCCTAATAGAAATAAGCAGCAGCAAAGCTGAGAAAGTAATGAGGATATAGACCCTCAGTGTGATTAATTTGGTCAAAAATGGAAGAAACATGAAATTACAGGAAAGAGCCTGAAGTTAAATTAATACTCTCCAACTTGAAYACATAATGTGTTAGCCAGAAGGATGTTATTTGAATCCAGACAGATATAGAAAAGGCAGAAGTGCAAGSCAATGCTTCAGTTTGATGATGGTATAACACCCCAAAACACAAAATCTTGCCTTATAACAATAGATGTTTTGTTCATATGTGTGCCCTAACTTGAAATACCAGTTTCTGTGATCGCTGCTCCAGTGAGTCCTTTGTAAATACTGGAATTAGCTGCAGCCATGTATATATAGGTRCACTGGAAAAAAACAGCTCCAGTATTTCATGGCTGTGTAAATTCCCGCAGACTATTTTTACAGTGTTGTGTAATTATTCTCTGCAGTCTAAGCTTACATTATACAAAAAATTGTAGGCAATCTGGGTTATGGTTGCAAAAAAAAACCCAGTGCAGTGAAACTGGAGTGTGAACTGCTGCAYTGATATTTGCCCCGTCTAGAGAGCTGAAACAATAGCCCAGAGGGAAGTGTGAAAGGACCCATTCTTCTAACTGGAGCGCTAAACTGGAGGTCTGCTGACAATTTAAGTGTCAACATCAGCTACTTCAAGGCGGATCACTTGAGCAGAAACACCAGGCTAATGTTCTTATTTGTCATCCTCAATTTGCACTTGTTGGATCGCAGATCCTGGGGTGGAGAGGAAAAGCAGAAATGGTTGTCAAAGGGTCCWGAGCTGAGGAAAGTTCTCCCATTCATCACCCTCTCCACACAGACATCTCTGCCCCAGCTCAAAATGGGGAGCAAAGAGGTCGATGCTCCCCCAGGCTGGAGAAATTGTCTTGGTAGCCAAAAGCCACAGTGGTCCCTACCAGTCTGCCAATGACCTTTGCAGTGTGGTTTGCTGTTGCCAAAAATGCCCACACTGGTAGGAGATTAAAAAGGAGTGTAAGGGGAGTGGGAGGAGAGGAGCAGCCCAAAATATCTCTTGGGGACATTTGCTGTTGTTTTGCTTTATTCTTGTTGGTTCACTGCCTAAAATACAAAAGTGACTGTGATTTTCTCTTGCATAAAAAAGCCATTGGAACAGGTTTTCTGTAATGTTGTCTACATGGAGCCCTTGTTGAATTGCTTTTGAAGTTGCAGATCGTTGTTCCACAGTTGGGTCCAGACATACCCACTCAGTCTAAACATGCCAGGGGCCCTTATGACATCTTTTATTTATTAAAGATTTCTGATTGTCTTGCATGTACAACTGTTATTCAGTTATCCAGACTAATATTTCTTTACTTTGTAAGCCAGACCTATTACAATAGTAAAGAATATTTTAAAAACTATTTCTGCTCATTTACTACCCTCCATTAGGAAAACAACTATGTGCAAAAGTCCCTACACATGTGCACTTCTGTTTTCAGGCTAAAAGTGATGCTGAGGTGTTTGGGGCAAAGGTTTTAAGTCCTTGGGACTAATTCCTGAAATATCCTGAGGAAATGTCCCATGAAGTGGAAGCAGAAGATGGGATCTGCAGAATGTTTTAATTGAGAACATAACTTCCAGTTTTCAGTGGCGCACAGCTGTGCTGAAAGTTTGTGCCCAAMGTCAATTCCGCTTGAGTGTCCTTCAAATCAGGGGTGTCCTCTGCTAGCTGGGCCAGCAGAACAGGCTACAGCCACTTMAAAAACATCAAAATATAAGGCGTTTCCAGTGAGTATTACAATACATTAGCAAGGTCACGTCACTGGGGAATGYACAGAATGCACCATGTACAATTCTCTGTGTATTTTTGGTTGTTGTCTCTGTTGTACTATGAGAAAACTGGGGCAGCTCAAAAAAATACCTGAAGAAAAGTATCTTCAGAACGGTGACCTGACTTGCTGTTGCTGGATCTGTCAGTTTTTACACCTGGACAAAGGCAGAAGAAGTACATGGTGGTGTCTGTYTGTGGTGGCTGACCCACGTCAGTATCAGGACAGAGCTGTTTCTCCCTCTGAGTATCACCTCACTCCCTTGGAGCAGCACACAGCAGAAGGCAGCACTTGTGAAGATGGAGTAGATGCTGCTTGAGTTGGTTTGCTGAAAAATCTGGTTAAGCTGAGTAATCTGCAAGGTGGCAGTCTTTAACTCCTCCCATTCTGTTGCCAGTCATTTTTAGGTAGAAGAGAAGGGACATCACAGCCTGGAAGATTACATCCACCTTCTCTCATGTTTCCCATCAAGTTCTTAACACCTTGGGTAACTTCTGGGCAGTGGAGATGCAAGAGACCATTCTGGGTGTCAATTGCATAAATTCCCTTACCTGGATGCTGCATTTCTATCTGATATTCTTTGGCCAAGCATCGGTGCTGTTAACAATAGATAATGTTCCTCTGTTTGGTCACAAGGATGTGGAGACTGCCATGGATGCTTTGTCAGCCTCAGGTTCAGATGATGTGGGACACTGTCTGAMCCATGTGTCCCTGAACTGTGGCTTGTACAACCTTGGGACCTCATAAACCAACAGAGTGTGCARTTTCCTGCCTCTGGTTGCTTTAGCTTCTGGAAATCATCCATGGAGAGCTCTYCTGGCACCCCTCATCTGGGATACTCCATGCATTTGGGTGTCTGAAGAGGAAACAAGAGGGCTTTTCATGTTTGCTTGCCCATGTCCCATCACTTCTCTGAGCTTACACTTCATCATTGTAGATGAGCCACACTCTYAGCTGAGCTGAGTCCACATCCTTGACTACTGGGCTCTGGTCAGAGTTACTGAGACTTCCTAAACCAGAAGGTTAAAGAGGCAATGGTTTCCTTCTCTGCCAAATAGGAAAACAGCCCTTCGTCCAGAGTACTTTGGTGTTCCACTAAGGATAGAACCCAGGTGATGGGAAGTTCAGTGTTGGGATGGCTGTTCCAGCTGGGTGGTACAGGAGAGAGTTGTAGACCTTGCTTTTACCTGCTTTTCAAAGGACCCAGCAGAGAGTGCCAGATCAGTCCCAGAAGTGCTGAGCTTGAGCAGGATGATCAGATGTGTTTCTGAGGTAAATGTCTACAAGCAGACTTTTGCTGGGACATTCACAATGTGTAAGGCTGTACCTGTGAACTGGGGAATCTGCCTGGAGTGGGTTGCAGGCAGGGAATACTGTGTAATGGATAGTGCAGGACAATTTGTGGAAGATGTRTACCAATAGTTGATTTTTACATGCAGCTTTTGTCTCCCTTCCCCCAGCAGCTTTACAAGACCATGGTGCAAGTACGTACTGCTTCATGTGCTAGCAATTACAGTGCTCAATGAAAGTTGTTTTCCATCTTGAAGTCTACAAAATGAGTCTGAAATGTACAAAAAGTGCTGGAATCAAGATGTACATTACATTGGAGAGGTTTTTGTCCTTCCTTTCTGTATGGTGGATCAGTGAGAGATTTGTAGACTTTGGATATTTTCATTTTTTGCCTTTTAGACCCTACCAATTTTTACTTACTCCTGATCCTTTTAAAATCAATGTCAAAGTTCCCACTGACTTCAAAAGAGATAGCCTCAGCTTTCAAGTACTTTAAAGAATAATTTTAAGCAAACAAACCCAAAATGGGTAARAAGTGCATTTTCTCTCTCCATTAGGCATGCAACTTATTTTCTCCAAATGTAAACGTTACCTGGAGAGCTAAGCAGTGATGTGGTTTCTATTATTTCTTTAGGAGGCTACAGTACCCAAAGTATATTCCATACATACTTCTTCATTTAGGAGCCAAACATAGCTATGTAAAGTGAGTGGCTTGTTTACAGTAGGCCCTTATGGCTTGCTATCAAATTAGTGGCAAATCAGGACTGCAGTAAACAGAGGTCAAAGATCAAACCCACAATTTCACATAAAATTCCAGACCGTGTACACAAAATTTAAAATGCAAAATCTTCAAATCACAAGACCATCAACTGCTCTTAAAACTAATCAAAAGCAGGGTAAGGACTGAAGGAAATGAAAGTTAAACATGATTTTAATCCAACTTCTAATGGAACAGCTACATCATGGGTATCTTTTAACCATGACAGCTGATTCCATGCTACTTATTATTTACCATGAAACAAGGTTTTGGTACATGTCTCTGGCTTTCACACATGCTGTTTTGTTTCTTTTTCTCCAATTTGAAATAAAATAAATTACAGAAGTG